AGGTCTAGGCCGAGGTCCCACACCTCCTTGCCGAGGTGTGGCCTCAATGGCCACATTCAAGGAAATGAAGTCGGGAAAATCTGGATTTCCCTCTCTTTAAGAACATGACGAACATGAAGCACATTAACATGAGAAAGATGAATGCAAAGATTAAAGCTTGCTATCACAAAATTTGAGATTTCATGCTAAGAATCCGAAACCATGGACCTGGGTACCCATACTCGAAGATCTTATGAAAATAACCACAAAAACATGAACCTTAATGCAAACTTTCGGATCAAACAAAGTTTTTCTTCAAGAATTCATGAAAACCATTTTCTCTTTCTAAAACCAACTTTAAATCAATGCATGACATGTAGAACAGGTTTGATCGTGCAATGCAGCTAGGTGATCAATAAGAACAACAAGAGTAGGTTAAGATTCTAACCTCAAAACTCGAATCTAACGGTTCAAACTCCAACAATCAAACTTGGAAGTTCACTCTCTTACTCAAAGGCTCCACCCTCTTCTTCCTAGAGTCTCTCTCTCTAAAAGGCAAGATTTGATACAAAATGATATGTTTCTCTCGACAGTCACCGACTTAATCCCTCTGTTGGGACACGTGACATCGGCTGGTTGGCTCTACTAAAACAGGTGACTGACTGACAAGACAAGACCATGACAAAGTGTATTCAACAAGCTAGACGGCAAGAGCACTCCGGCAAGTGATGATCTCGGCTAAGGGAAAGCTTGGGCAAGTAGGGTGACAACGATATCGACTTGGAAGGACAACACTTGACTAAGCTGTGCCACACCTTGGCCTAGATGTGCCACACCTCGGTCTAGGTCATACCATTCCAGGAACAAAATCACTAAGTGCAAGGATAAACATCTCGGCCTAGATGATGCACATCTCGGCCTAGATAGCGACATCTCGGCAATTATGCTAGGGTGGAGATGGAGGTCAACAGAAGTGGTTCCAAGATAGTTCTAAGTGTAAAAGGGGTTCAAATGTGGCTGGGCTAAGGATGACCTCGGCAACACCCCAGGCAAGAACAAAGTATGCAAGCAATACTCAAGCAAAGCAAGACAAGATTTGCAAATGCACATAACAAAGCAAGATCATACATAAATGTATGCAAGTATGACTAAGTTGAAGTGAGGATTGTTATAACTCTATAGTAGTACAGACCTTTTGGGATAATAAATGCAGTCTTCTCCTCATCTGGAGGATACATGGCTATCTGATGGTATCCCCTGTAGGCATCCAGGAAGCTTATCCTTCCATGTTCCGAAGTGGCGTCTACTAGCTGGTCAATCTTGGGTAGAGGAAAACTGTCCTTGTGACAGGCTTTATTCAGGCTGGTAAAGTCCACGTAAACCCTCCATTTACCGTTCTTTTTCTTCACCACCACTGTGTTTGATAGCCATGTCGGGTAATTTACCTCTCGAATGGCTCTGACCTCCAAAAGTCTGTCTACTTCCTCTTCCACTGCTTTGACGTGTATCAACGTCGGTCTTCTTGCTCGTTGGATCACTGGTTTTGCCGACCTATCAACATTCAGTTTATGGCAAGTGACCTCGGGGTCAATGCCAGGCATCTCATAAGGTGTCCAAGCAAACACCTCAATATTTGCTCTTAAAAAAGCTTCCAACTCTTTTTCTTCTTTTTCGTCTAAGCCCGAGCCGAGAAGAAAGAAGTGTTCTTCATCCCCCTCCTAGACGAGGATTTTCTTCAGTGCTTCTTCACTCTTCTCGGTTGGCTTCTTGCCGACATCCTCTAAGACCTCCACGTCTTCATCTTCGATCTCTGCCTTCTCTGGTTCTCTTATGCTGCAGGTGGATTTCATTGCTATTATGGAGCAGTTTTTTGCCTACAGCTAATCTCCTCAATCCCATGTTCTGTTGGGAACCGCAATAGTTGATGCAAAGTTGAGGGAACAGCCCTCATTGCATGCAACCATAGTCTTCCCAAAATGATGTTGTAAGGGGAGGGTATGTCAATTATGATGAACTCTGTTGTTATCTTCCTGGTGCCTGCCTGCACCTCCAAACTGGTTGTTCCTAGTGGCCATGTTGGCGTTCCATTGAACCCGACCATTAGGCTATTGGATTGCTCCATATCGTATGGGTGAAGGCCAAGCTCCTTGTAACATCGGACGTACATGATGTCACAAGAGCTGCCTTGGTCAATCAGGATGCACCTTACTTGGCATTCCCCGACCTGGAGGAATACTACCAAGGCATCATTATGCGGGTGCTGCACCATCTCAAGGTCGGCTTCAGAAAAGGGCACTACTGGTCCTTGGCACTCCTCTGCCCGATGTCTCTTCTCTCCGACTTGGTAGACATGCTGTAAGTGCTTCACTTTCTGGGTCTCCTCCCTGATCTCGTTTTCGCTGACCTTCGAGTGAATGACATTAATTACCCAAGGTCCTCCTGCTTGAGGTTGCTGTGCTGGGAGAGGTGGAGCTGCTGTCACTTGAGGCAATCTTGCCTGTTCTTCCCTTGTTTTGGCCTCATCGACAAAGTCTCTCAAATAGCCTTGTCTCACCAGGTCTTCCAAGTGTGTTTTCAAGGCTCTACAGCCTTGAGTCATATGCCTGTTTTCATTGTGGTAAGCACAATGCCTGCTAAGGTTTCTTCCCATGAATTCTCCTGGTGCCTTTGCTAGTGTTCTGAAATAGGGTTGATTTCGAATTTGATCCAGGTCTTTGTGAATTGGGATTCGGAACACAGTTGTCACTGCCTGTGTAGCCCTCAGTTCTATCTCTTGCTTGCTCAATCCATTGTTAACTCGGCCTCGCTTCGGCAAGCCGTTTTCCTTTTCTTGCTTTGTCTCCCTAGTCCCCGATGTATCTTCCTCGGCTCTGGCATACATCTCGATCCTCGACATGAGCTCTTCCATGCTTTTTGGCAATATCTTTGCCAAAGGTTTTCGTAGTGGGCAGTCGTCTTTTAGGTCGTTCTTGAAAAATACAACCGCCACCTCTTGATTATACTCTGGTATTCGGTTGAACACCTCATAGTACCTTTTTGCATAAGCCCTGAGACCTTCATCCTTGCCGATCTTCAGAGCCATCAATGTATCCACTCTTAATGGCTGCAGCTTGTTTGTCACGAACCTGGCCACAAACATCTCAGCCAGGCTTTCCCAGGTCTTCACGCTTCCCTTCGGTAGTTTGTGAAACCAATTTAATGCAATCTCCCCGAACGATGAGGGGAACACTTTGCAGAGCAACGGCTCGTTCCCACTATATAATGCCATTGAGTTCAAGTATAATCCAAAGTGGAAGTTGGGGTCTGACTTACCATCGTATATTTGGAATCTCGGCATACTGAATCTCTTCGGCGCCTCAAATTTGTCTAACTCCACTGAGAATGGTGTTCTCGGTTTATCAGGGGAAGTTACCTCGGCATCGGCATTCTGCTGCTTCCTCTTGAGGTAATCTCTCAAGTCTTCTTTGCTCCGCCTAGGAGCTCGACTATCTCCTGACTTCAGTCTTTTCGGCATACTACTCTCAGCTTCATGGTGGGTCCTTTTCGATCTTTCTCCGTGAATTGTGTCGAAATAGAGTGCTTGCCCCTGAACATGCCGATGTGCTTTGGGGTCTACTTCCTTGGCACAATGTGTCCTCCGCGACTCTTCTCTCCTCGACTCTCCTCGTCCGACCTCCCTGGAAGGCTAGTGAGAGTGTTTTTCGCTTCTGGTGTGTTGAGGGGCTATTGGGATTGTCTTCTGCCCTCCTTTCTGGGCATTGGCCGCTGGAATCGGCGTGTCCTGCAGCGGGTATGGTGGCTGCATGACATTGTTTTGCATCATGAAATTGACGACCGATTGCAAGTCTGCCAATTTGTTTGCCATTTCTTTCACTTCTTCGTCCTTCCGCAGGCATCTATCCTTCCATACTTTGAAGTCATCCTCATTGTAATACCCACTTCGATCTGGCTTCTTTGGTACGCCGCCATCCTGGCCGATGTCTTTCTTACTGTGATTCTGGTCACGATGTGTTGCGGTTGTCTCCTTCAACGTCAAGATCGATAGGTCTGCCACTTCCGGCAAGAGTATCGTCCCCAATCTTTTCCTTCTGTCCGTCACTGGCCATCTATTCTTCTTTCTTTCCCAAAGACAGCGCCAAATTATGTGAGTGTTTTTTCGATCACACTGCCAACTTAGTTATTCAACTGGAGAATACTCGCAAAATAGATGACACCTGGCTGACCTGCAACAGAAAGAGAAGATTCCGACGGTGGTTTGTCCACCCGGGGGCACTCCGACGATCAAGTTAGTATATCTCTTAAAGATAATCAATTGTGCTAAACTTGCGTACCTTAAACCCATCGGGGGTGCCTCTCTTTTGTAGTTAACTCAATCCTTGTCCCACTAGAAGCCTAGCTTCAATGGACTCTTGCTAAGTGCTTATCCTGGACTCTCTAAGAGATAAAGATAAACTCCCTAAGAGTATTATCCTTATCCATGCTAAAGTCTTTTATCATTCTAGGACTTTGGTCCCTTATCCGCTTATCTCGGATTCCGATATCTTCGGAGATAACCTCGGCTTAGCCGAGATTACCTCGACGTCATGACCAGGACACGTGACACCTCGGCTGACACGTCAGCGTCACCTTGGCCACGTGTTGGGACTCAGAAAATATATCCCCACATTATCATTTTAGGAAAGAACAAAACAATGAAAGCTTTAGTTGCATACTTGGTGCACTCATCAAGGACACCGAATTTAGGCTTGTGAAAGAAAAACAGATTAGCATTCACTTAATAGATTTTTTAAACTTGTTCAAAACAAGTAGGAAATGCTAGTGGTGGAGTGAGCTCACCATGCCTAATCTCTACTGCTCCCCAAGAGATAGGATGTCTTCCCAGTTCTTATTAGCATCCCAACCACCTTCTCTTTCCAAAAGATAGAGTAATTTGACATTTTATAGAATAGTTTCTAAATGTGAATCCAGAAGTTTTGGGACATCGCTAAATGTTTCTCTTGAAATTTTGCTTGAGCTACTTAGGAAACAAGATAAATGGATAAGATCAATTTTACAAGTAGAGCGTAAAGACGAATAAGAGAAATATAGGTCACACTATTTTATTGAACAATCAAGAAAAAAAATTGGTAAAAATATTGTCCATGAAACAGCGAGAACAATTATAGAATAGGAAACATAATACATGCAAACTAACATATGTGCTAAAAATTTAAACCCGACAATAATCATCCAGATTCTCACTTCAAATCAGGGAAAAGTGAAACCATTTTTTCTTTTGTAATTTCCTTCTCTTTTTTACTTAGTACAAAATACTAGGGCATCTGACTTCCACTCTGCCCATCCTAAACAATCACAGAATTGTATTTTTCACTTTGGAAGATATGTGAGCCACACCGCCTGGGTACAAAGGGGATGTACAGTGTATAATTCTAAGAGTACTTTCACTTACCCAAGACAGTGTCCCATGGTATCAAAGAGGGATGGGAAGGGTGCGTGTCTTGGGCCCTGCACACTAGGCGTGAGGGAGGGTGGGAAGCAAAGTCCCACATTGAAATAACTCACTTCATGAGTAATCCCAAAGATGTTAATACTCCTTCTGTCCCAATATATTAGTCCCTTATCCCAGTTTTCATTGTTCCAAAATATTAGTCACTTTTCAAAAATCAAGGAATAAAATAAGAGGTTTGAGAAATTCTATGACTATGTTATTCTACTTTCATGAGTAATCAATTTCTAACACTATGTTATTCTACTTTCATGCATGGCTATGATTGATTGTTGTAGCTCCAATGCATTGCATGGAAATATATGACACTAAATTAGTTCATCAATGAGTTGCAAGTGGACGATAGCAGTATGAATCACCAGCCATAACTCTAATATACTCTTAAGTTATTTCCAATTTCAAAGGGTTAGAATATTGAACATGCATGATGAAAGGGGAATCCTAACCTAACAACACAAAAGACCAGGTAAAACTTACCAGGAGATGGAGCAAAAACACCAAATTATAGCTGGTGTGGTCTTGGTCAAAAGAGAGCAACTATTGCATTCCTTATGATCAAGAAACCACAATGAACGTGGTTTGTGTTTGAAGTCCCTGAACTACTTATGCATGTTCTGTTTTGATAGATAATATAGGAATTTTGGCATTTAATTTGCTTTGCCATTGTGTGCATGCATGTTTGTGTGTAGTGTGTGTTTTAAAGCTAGGAAGAGTAACATACTGAATATATAAAAAAATTTGTACAAGCCAAAAAGAGAATATAAAAAATCCAAGAATACATTTGAAAAACAATGAACAATGAGCGTCAAGCAATTTATTTAGCAATTCATGCTTCCAAACAATAAGATAACGAGAAAAAGGGGCATCTCTTTGACTAGTACCTGGATAATGCACTGTCACAGCTCAATGCATGAGATAATAGCAATATAAACATACCCAGGGCTGGATGAACAAAGCATACCAAGGTAAATTCAACCAGTGTAGTAACAAGTAATGGGTTCACCCTTAAAACCCTTAACACCTGTTCCATGAACAAGTTAAGTCACAAGGAAAAGAAAGAAAATAGAAAAAAAAAGAAAAAAAGGGAGACGTAGAGACCGAGGCTGTAATAGAGTTAATACAACCAATAAATATAAATGTTAAAGGAAACTTGAAAACAAACATCCATACTAGCCTAATTATACAACACTAAGCTAGAAGTAGATAAGTGTGTTATAAATAGGAACTTACCATGAATGATAAAAAAAACTGGAAGAAAGATTAAGGAACCAATGAAAGAACCCAAAAGAAAAGTTTCCTTCCCACAATTGCCACCTGTAAAATATTGTCTCATCTTACTTGACAAGAAGATGTACTTCAACATTCGTACAATCCAAACTAGCAAAGCATCAGCCATACAGATGAAAAAAGATGGCAAAAGACATTTTTGTCATTCTACTATCAAAATTGTATCAAAATAACAGTAAACCCACAAGAGAGCAGTAACCATGTCTTGATGAAAACATGTACAACTGCAGCCACATAGAAAACCAATTGGGTGATCAATATCAAAAGGATTACGAACCCATTTGCAAATAAATAGCAAAGTATTGAGACAAGGATGAAGCTTACAAATAGAGAAAATGGTTGGGATGCTAGAAAGGAAAGGAATGAGGCAATGAAAAGGAGTACAATGGCTACGGAAAAAAATGGCAATGGCATTCTCAAATTGGATTCTACATTGAAGGTGTAGGTAGCGCTGCTTTCAAGAAAAAAGATTCCCAAATTTTTTTTTGTTGGTATTACTTTGAACAAGAGTTATCGTTTTTTTCACCTTTTTTCTTGGTACTTTTTTTATTCAATATGTTGGATATTTCATATACTTCATTAGATAAACAAATAAAATTTTAACTGTCTATGATTCAAAAAAGTAATATGTTGACATTAATACAATGGTCATCTGATTAGGGAGACAACATCAGAGTTAACAGTTTCACTTTCTTTACTACCACTAAAAGAATTGTTGAACCAAATCAATTCATGAGAGCAGGCTTATATCACAGGTGGCTTCCTTATCTATAACACCTTTCCCTTCACTTATTGATTGTCTATATTTCATAATTAACAATCATTTTGTATGCTCCTCACCAGAAAAATTTCATGAATTGACTTCAATTCTTTAATAGATGTGTGCAAAACTTACTTAAAGGAAAGACTGTTGCTGCATTGTAGTAGGTCAAATTGCAACTGCTTATGCTACAATTACATTAGTTTCTTGCTACCAAGTACCTCTTCTATTTTTGGGTATTCTTAAACATATCACGCACAATTATCAAGAATATAACAAAACTATCAAATGCAGATGTACAACTCAATGTAGCTACATACATGTCCCCCTACCATGATACAAAGGCTTCAAAATGTAGGTGGCAAGGTAGTACCAAAGTAAAAATCTCAAATTTTCTGCACCTTTTGTCATTATATTGTATTGCTAGACAATGATATGATCCTAAAAAGACTTTCATTTTTCTTGAAAGCAGCGCTATCTACTTTTGTGGTGCTACATCAAAAAATCCAACCATCATTGAGGTTCTCCAAGAGACAGGCATAATCCAACCATCATTAGTCTTACCCCAAAGAACACAAAAACATAATCCCCAAAAACCTAATTCCAACCCTTAAATGAACAATTTTTCTTCTTCAACATAATCAAATTCTAAGAAAAATAGCTCCCCTGTATCACACTCAAGAACACACAAAAATTTGTTCCCAGACAATTAAACCAAGCTCTGAATCATCAAATTACTGCACTTAACAGCATCAAATTGAAGCCCCAAAAAAAAAAACCCATCAATCATAACTCACAACAAACACAAATTTCCCTAAAAACTACTCTAATTTCTATACACAAAATGACCAAGTTCGCCTTTTCCTATGACTCAAATGTCAAAAACAACAAAACCCATAATTCTGACCTCCTATAGACAGAGGTGTTGATTGGAGCAGAAAATCACAGAGATCTGAGTGCTCAAGAGATTTTTAGCTTGCGAAATCGAATCTGATTTAGATCTCAACGGTTAGGCATAGTCTCTCCGTCTTCACTGCCGGCGACGGATATGTGTGGATCGCTTACGACGGTCAGATCTCGGCCTAGGACTCAAATCTTATTCAGATCTCGATGGCGATGTGCGACGTCGCACGGCGGTGAGCGATGGTAAGATGAGCGGATCGCGGCGAGGCGAGGCGAGGTGAGGTGAGGTTTGGTGGTGCTTGATTTTGTGAGAGTGAGAGAGAGAGAGAGAGAGTGAGAACCTGTTTGTATTCCAAACAGATTTCATACCAAAAAAATCATATAATAAATAAAAATAATGGCGCCAATCTGAAAATTTTCCTCATATCTTTGCTGATTATAATATTTTTTAGTCGCTGAGAATATATTTTTGGCGATTAAATTTTTGGTCGTTAAAGATAAAAAATAAATTTTAATTTTTTATTTGGTGACTAAATAATTTTAGTAGCTAAAATTAACTATACAATGACTAAAATATTTTTTAGTCACTGAAAATAAATTTTTAAAAAATAAATTTTTATATTTCATTCGGCAACTAAATAATTTTAGTAACCAAAACTAACTATATAATAACTAAAATATTTTTTAGTCGCTGAAAATAAATTTTTTGGCTACTAAACTTTTGGTTGCCAAAGATAAAAAGTAAATTTTTGTATTTCATTCGACAACTAAATAATTTTTGTTGTCAAAACTAACTAAAATATTTTTTAGTCGTTGAAAATATATTTTTGGCGACTAAACTTTTAGTCGCTAAAGATAAAATTACTTTTGGTCGCAAAAAGTTACTTTTTTGCAACAAAATTACTTTAATCGATAATAGTATCAACTTTTAGCTACGAATTTTTTTTAGTAGGCAAATGTCATTTTTTTGTGACTAAAATTATTTTAGTCGGCAAAAGTGATCGGTAAATGTAATTTCTTGTAGGGGTAGAAATCTACCCCTTTCCTTGTGGTCAATATTCCTTTATATAGAAGTCGTTAGAGTCACGATAGTTATAAAAAACTCTCCATTAATTTTTTTTTATAACAAATGATTGTATGGCATGATTATTGGCGTCACTGCTACAAAAACAGTTAAAGATTACACTGTGATAAATGAAAATATCTCACTTTTATTAGAAGTGTGATAAAAAAAATTAGATTGATATTTTAATCACACTTAACTTAATTAAGTGTGATAATATTTATTTTTTATGTCACTTTTTAATTAAGTGTAATTATATATATATTTTTTAATCACACTTTTTAATTAAGTGTGATTGTATATATATTTTAATTAAGCGTGATTATATTTATTTATATATATATAGAGTATCAGAGTGGAAACACAAACAAATCAAACCCTCTCTCTCCCTGTCTTTGCTTATCCCCCTCTCACCACTCACTTAGCAATAGCTAGGGTTTTATTATCTTTCTTTCTCCTGTAGAAACCCTAGTGTTGAAACTCCCATCCCCGTCAACAACAATCACCATTAGTGTTGGATTTGCCATCACCGATCCGTCGACAATGGCAGATCTTGAAGGACGACCAAACCCTAGAGAGTTACGGGTAATTCAATCGATTCTCATCGTACTCGTTTTTTATATATGTGAATGTAGATATAGGTATTACCATTGGAATTTGAGTTAAATGCTTTGGTACCCAACTCAATTTCATCTGTAATCCATTATCCATCAATCTCTCTATTTTTCTAGAATTCCCAATTTAACACTAACAAACACTCATCAATGTCATATGTGAACTCTTTCTATGATTTTTGTTCACTAGATTTTCGTTTCACTCTCTTTTTCACCTACATGCATTTTTCATTATTCTCTCTCACTAGCTTTCATATGATACTTTCCAACCATCAATACCGGCTCTAAAAATCAACATCTTTGGTGGGTTTTATTGAGTTTTGTCTCGTAAGAACTCGACCAGTAAAGGTTGGTACTTTGAATTTTCTTTGTATGTTTCTTCGAACTTCTTGTTGGGTAGATGAACAAACTCAGGCGGAGATTACAAAGTTAAAGACTACTTTTTGAATTTTTTTATTGTATTATTTGTGTTCAATGTGCCCAAAGACTATCTATTCATCCTTTCCTAAATTTGAGTTTACAACAAGAAAACTGAAAATCTGAGATTAGTGGGTCAGCAAATCTGAGTGAAAAATCAAAAAACAGATTTGGTGTTGGTGAAATTCTACCAATAAAGATTTTGAGTATTTTGTCATTAGAAGATCCGAGAAGTGAAAATTTGTGGTTTAGGGTAAGAAATTAACAAGTGTGAGATTGAGGGAACAAAACCACATCAAAATTAAAGATGGGTTGTCATTAAAATCTTAGGTTGCGTTTGGTAGAGCTTTAGAATTATGATTTGAAAATAGAGTTATATTTTGAGTTTATGAGTTTTGGAATTATGATTTGAGTGTAAAAAATTTGTTTGATTATGAGTTTTAAAAAGAGTTTGAATTGAGTGATGTGACATATAATATTGAAAAGTGAGTGTTTTGAAAAGTGTTTTGAAAAGTGGGTGGAATTAATTTTCTAAAACTATAACCAAACAACACACTCAAGCTAAGGGGTAGAATTAAACTTTAAAAACTCTACCAAACAGAGCCTTATATAGTCAAGAAGATTTCAAGATTTGTGAGGTAGGGAGATGCAAAACCCATATAAAAAAACAGAGGTGGATTGTTTTCAATCAAGCCAGCATTGTGAATTTGTGAGTTTGAGAGTTGCAGAATCTATACAAAATCCAAGGTGGGTTGATTTCAGAAAGTATAGCGGTTAAGTGAATTCTTACATCTAGTAGAAATCACAGCTTTAAAATTAAAAAATACCATTGACAGATTAGACTACAGCGGGCAAGGTTTGTCTGAAGCACTAGCTTATTCTTTTGTTGACAGGTTAGTGCGTTAACTTTAATGTGCTTGTTCTGTTTTTTGATGAGTACAATATTTTATAGACCAAACAACACCATAAGGGGGTGAACCCTGAACAATACCAAGCAAAAACTATACATCACAGTTGGGATTACTTAATAAATTTGCTGACCATTATTATTTTTTATTAGATTTACTGATCATTATTAAAATGCTTCAGAATGTTATAAATTTTGATTTTGTGATGATGAAATTCTATGATATTTGGGGTATTTCATATCTATCTGATATATTAGAAGCAAGAAATACATACAAATAGAGTTTCTATAGCATTAGAATTTTTTAACTCAGCCAATTCTTTTCAATCCATTGAAATTGTACTTCAACCGTCTCATAATTCCTTTCAATACTCATCAAAAGAATTATTGATATTATGTGATAACAATCTTTGAGTATAGGGACAAGAATCAAAGGAGCTACGAAATCAACAGCTGTAGAGGAACAGGTTGTAGCTTGCTGATAACAACTACTTAGTAGTGCTTGCAAAAGTCTTGGTGGTTTTTGTGTATAAGTGTTTGCATTAGGTAGTAACTCTTTACATTTTTTATTGTCTATTTTTTTTAGAATGTCCAGTCCACATTGAAAAAGCAGACCACATATTTTGAAAAGCATCTAATCAATATTTTAAGAAAGGCCACTTTGCAAAAAAAGGTCTCTCCTAATTAGAATAGGTTCTATAGGTTTATGTTCATTTTTCTTTTTTAAAATTTATTCTGAAGTTCAACATTTATCAGTTGTTGACTTGTGCTTGTTTTAAATTAATTTATACATTTAAAAAAAAATCCATTAAAAAAATAGTCAAGTTTGTGTTGCAAACAATATAAAACTTATTTGGAATTAGTTGATGGACATTATTCATTCATGTGCTTTGTCCACTTATATTTTAGTCATCACATCTATTATTTTTTGGTCCACAGAATTGTTTCCCAATGAAATTGATGTTTTTATCAATGCTATGGTTATTTCCTTCGATAAATTTGAATCATGTTGGGCATTTAAATTACACTTTGGATACTTTACATTGTTAAAGTACTCGTTTGGCCATTGTATAAGCATTTTGAAGTCTATAATTGAAATCCAATTCTCTCTAATTTTGCAAGAAGTGACTTCATTGAACTCTTGAGAATGTCTCAGTATTGACCTGGTAATATTTTGCTTGCGTTTTGGGTGCTTTTCAAAATACTTAGTTGATTGCTTAGAAGAAGTCGTAAGTCAATGAATTTGTTTAATACTTTTGATTTTTTTATCTGACTACATAGTATTTCTTTAACCATTAGCTATTGTGTATGCAGTTATGAGCCAAAACATGAATACATTTTTTCTGACCTTGCCCTTATGCTTTTCATTATCATTACCATTTGTTCATCTGCATACAAGATGAACTCGTGAAGATTCTCATCCATGTGACAAAATATACTAAGAAACACATGCACCTAATTATTGTTTGTTTGTTTGCAGCAGAGCTTGAAGCAAGAATCAATGGAATGGGTCATATGGCCACCCAAGGTTGCTTGATCTGAGAAGGAAAGGTCAAGGCCGACAAGGTTGTTATGACTCTAAGAATTTGACGCATCACTTGTGAGAGCATTGTGTTGAATTAGACTCTTTAGCCTAATTCGCGCTAGTTATCAAGTATTTATAATATTGTAGACACCCCATTTTTGACCGTCCTCAAGACTTGGGCGTTACCGTTTGAACACTCGGTGATCATCCGTGTTCGTGTCCGTTTTACGGTGAAGACGGAATGTCAAAACCATTTATGAGTGAATGGGAAGTTGACATCGTTTTCGAGTCTAACATTAATTTTTATTTGATAAAATTCTCTTTTGAATTTTTCAATAAAAAATTATTGTGGGAATTTAATTTAATTCTAAATTCAAATTTTGGGTTCCTAAGTGGTTTCCTAAGGTTTGTAATTTTGGGAGTTTAATTTAATTCTTAATTCAAATTTTTAGTTCCTAATTGGTTTCCTAAAAATTTGATTAAACTATTTAAATAGTTTAATAAAGTTATTTCATTCAAGTGAAAGGTTTTATTGAATTAACTATTCTAATAGTTTAATTATGAAGTTTCAAACAGTTTGCCTAACTATTGCACCTACGGATCACTATTCAAATTATATGAAAGTGTGTTCAACGGCTTTTTGAATTCAAATTCAGAGGTTGTCCAAGGTGTGCACCTTTTCACTTTGAAATTAAACCTCTTCGGGTGAGTTCCTTGTGCCTATATATATACTAACTTTCTAGCAGTGGGTTGGTATCCGAGATAGGAAAAATTCAGTCTGAAATTGTGTTCCTTTGCTGTCCAATTTCTTTTAGTTTGTGCATTTTCC